GGATGCAATGATAATCAGGCAAAATTATGATTCTGAAGCCCAAGGCATAGTGCAATGCAAACTCGCATACTTTTTCCAGCCTAAGGCTGTTGTAGAGACTTGGTGGCATGTGAAGTTAAAAAAAAAAAAAAAAGATAAATTATGAGAAAACTCAGAGGGTATCTTTGTTTCATCTTTTCACTTTGTCCATCACTTGTGTCAGCTGTTCAGAGTTCCTCCATAAGAAGATCAGATGAGCAGAACAGAGAGAACAAACAGTAATAATCCTCCTCTGGTCCCCTTTCTTCCTGGAGACTGACAAAGCAGTAATTTTTTCCTTTTAGAAAATATATAGGATATGAAGTAAACATAATCTGATCAATTACCAAAAAAAGAGAATTTGACTGTATTTTGAAAATTGGAACCAAGATATACATGTCTGAATTTGGTGATTAGCCTTTATTGAAATAAAATGCATCCTCCCTGTTATATTTGATTGGCAAGTTTTTTTTCTTCATGTTTTCTATATTTTGTTCTATGAACATATTTTGTACCATAATATTTAAAGAAAATATAAAGTTATAGGTAACATTGGTAGTATATGATATTTATATAGCCCTTTATAATTTCCAATCTACTTTTTACACACGTGATGTGTTTCACACAATATCCTTGAAAAGTTATGCATGTCAATTTTTGTATTTCCAGTTTTAATGTGAGGAAAGTAATCGAGGGATTCTGGAGCACCTGGCGAGGATTACTTAACTAGAAAGTTTCTGAGTTATACCTGAATTTCATGTCTTTTGTATTCTGCAATGTTCTCCATATTATGCTCTTTATTCCGAGATTTCATTGATGTCCTACACATACCTTCTTTCCTTCTCAACCATCTGTAACACACAAATAGAATCTGTTTTGGTTGTACTTTGTTCTGCATTTCCCTTTATCTTTGTGATCATCATAATACATTATGCTGGATTATGGATTTTTTTTTGTTGTTTCTCAAGTAGACTCTAAAATTCTTGAGTACAAGAATCATATTTTATTTACTTATGTATTTTTTGGATCATTTGACCCATCCCAAAATCCCATACAGACTGTGTTTTAAGACAGTCACTATAAAAGGGACATATTTTAATAATCTGAAAGCAACTTTTTCCATGAAAGGTAAGGATGACGTTAAGATTAATAATAAATTATAGCTATTAAATTAAAAAATTAATAACTTCTTTTAGTAAAATAGATGCGTCTCAAGGGAAATATAACTAGCCTTCCATATACTGTAGCCCTAATTTCCCACATACAGAGACTGCTCTAGGTATATTAACTTGTCTATCATTCTTAACATGAATTATGTGTTCTTACTATCCCTTTATATAGAGAATCCAAAGTATACTGATTGGTTACACAGTTTGTCAATGGAAAAGTAAGGATACAAATGTAGGCTCTTAACAGTGATTCCTAGCCTTGGTTACACAATAGAATCACCTGGGGGAGATTTTACATATAACAATCCCATAGATATTTTGTTTTGATTAGTCTGGTATGAAGCTGAACATCAGCTTTGAAAAACAAAAACAAACAAAATCAAAACCAAAAACAAAATGTTTCTGGAATCTTCTATACAGACAGGATTTATAAACTGAGCTTTTAAAAATTATGGCGTACTAGTACCTAATAAGTCTTAAATTTACAGATTATTACAAGAGATTCATTGGACGGTGGCACGTGCTGATTTTCATTTAAGAGTTGTCTGAACCAGTATATTAAACAAAGGGCAAGGTATTGCCATAAAGGATAGTTAGCCAGCTGCAGAGGGAAATCTAGCCCTTGTTAAATTTGACTGCCACACAACTTAGTAATAAAGATATTCTATCTAGCATCGAATCGTCCTGTATTAGCTGCTTCTTTGGGTAATTAGTATTTTTCTCAGTTATGTCCTCGGCTTGTTCTCCAGCTCAGGCTACCACATACTTTCATAGTGACAAGAACTATGGGTTGGGAGGTCATGAGGCAATTGCTGAAGCAAAGTACAATCGTATGTGTGATGACAAGGAAGTGCATCAGATGCTGTGTGGTCATGCCCAGCCTATGCCTGGATTAGAAAATACTTTAATGACATAGAGCTACAGCAAGCTCTAAATGAGGGCAGTTCTGACAATTAGGGAAGGTGGGGTCATGTTCCAGTTAATCATAGCCACACAAACAGAACAATGATAAAATTTGGGAAGAAAAATCTTTAGCCTTGATAGTGAAATACTTTACCCTACAATATTTGAGCTTACTTTGTATTTCTTTCATGTAAGTGAACTTCCTGAACTGGCAAAATTCAAAAAATGTCTAGTTTTCTTTTGTATGGAATTTAATACTTTGAACAGGCAACTATGTGTGTTTGGCTAAATCCATCTTAGTTTCCAAACAAACTACCTTTTACAAATAAAGAATCAGACTAGAATAACGGGGATTTGTTAAGTTCAGTAGATAAAGGGCAGGAAAGTATTCAGAGCAAATGGCCCCATTTGAAAGAGACGTATAATAAGAAAGAGGAAAATTAAAAATATAAAAAATAATCCAAGTCATAAATGCAATAAGAGTTAGAAAAACCAATCTGTAAACAATATTAAATAAGAAAGATTATTGCTGAATAAAAAATGTGATGAAGAGAATAAGTAACCCATTGGTTACTGCAAAATACAATAATAAACACTGCATTAGAAGAAACAGATAAAGATTTTTTTATAGGTTTAAATGAAAATGAAGATTAAGGAAGAGATAAGAGACAAAAAGAGCCAGATGATGCAATATATGTATAAAATGAATTGCACAATTAGAGAAGAGAGCAGATAAAAACAGAAGCAATAAAGAATAATAATTGATGAACACAAGATTCATGCAGAATGGCAAAAGAAAGATGCTAAGACATTCTAATGATTTACATTTTTGTCATTCGTACACATGTTTTATGTCTGTGCAGTATTGGGAGCTAATGCAAGTTCTATTGGATATTGTCTTGCTATTTTCTATCCTATTAGGTTCTTCTTAAATACATGGAACTCAATTTTACCTGAGAGGAATGGGGGAAAAAAGATTCAATGAAAACAGACTAAGTACATTTAGAGAAAAGTTAAGTGAGATTTTTACTTTAAGGCAAAAATAAAAATTATAAATTTTACAGGCAGAAACAAAGGAAAAAACAAAAGTGTTTAAGACAGAGGAAAAATGGCATCAGGCTCTCCATACATAACTCTGAAAACTGGACAACATGGGAACAATGTCTAAAAAGCATTAAGAGGAACAGAGTTCATTAAAAAATCAATATGCCAAGTACATCTTGTAAAAGTGATGATGATTGTAGAATATTTTGGAATAGTTCCAAATCTTCTCCATAAGAAAGACAGATTATCCCTAATAATAAAACCTAAAACTTATAGGCCACATCTTAACACAGACCATTCAAGTGACAATTTTTCCCCCAAACTAGAAACTGTAAGTGAATTGGAAGAAAGCACTGACAGCTAGTGCTCATGGGATCTCAGGGAATTAATAGGGCATTTGAGGAACCCAAGAAGACAAGAATTCCCCAGACACCAAACAGAAGTTCATGGGAAGCACAGTGGGACAATTTCAGAAGAGCACGTAAACCTAGGTGGCAGTTTTTACATACTTTAATGCATGGGTCAATGCAATTGGTCCAGAATAAAATCTGAAGGATCTGGAGTAGTCTGGGTCCTTTGGGTCTTCAAAACTAAGTAGAAAGGTATCTTATTCATTGGGAAGAAGTTACCGGGAGCAGTATAAACTATCAAGATGTGGAAACATTAGACAACAAATATAGAAAACTCATAAAACAAAGAATATACAGATAAGGGAAAGGGAATAATATCAGATTACAGAATTTCAAGGTAATATTTCTAAACTAATCAAACAACCAAAAAGAGTTAGTGCTAGACTAAAAAAGCAAGAAAATCTATTTTAACCTTCTAAAATTTCAGAAAGTGAATTTCATGTATAAATAAGCTACTTAAAAGGATTAGGACTGATTTTTACACAAAGTCATTACAAGAAAGTAAAGGTTAAGGAGCAGACTATTGTCTCTACAGACACAACAAATCAAAAAACAAATGTATGCATATAAAACAGTTAAATTTCTAACCTAATATTTCCAAACAAGCTAAAAAATATTAAGAGGTCTAAAATGTTAAATAATAATACAAATCTTAATTAGAAAAACCTTTAGATAAGGTAACAGAACTCAAGAAAAACAAGAAATAAATAAAATATTCATTGTAGAAATGAACGCTAAACTGTAAAAAACAAAAAAACAAAAAAATAGGAGTGAATGTCTTAAGACAGCAAGGTGAAAAAAAAAATAAGAGAGAAAAAGATTGAGATAAAATGACAGATAAAGAGGATAGTTTACGTGGATTGAACATATATTTAACAAGTATTCCCAAGGAAGAAAGCAAATTCAATGAAACAGAATAAATAATCTAATATTTATTCAAAAAATGTTACCGAAATTTAAACAAAGGAAAAAAAGTACTTGAAATTACTGTATAACGGAAAAAAATGATACCAGAATGCTTTATTTGAAATAAAGCCCTGAAAGAACAACAACAACAACAACAACAACAAAGAAAATTTGGACAAAATGGCTAAATAATTGAGCCAGTTAAAGACAAAACATGATAGTGATCTGGCTCCATTGTCTGGAGAAACACACAGGGTCCTTGGTCTCATGCCAAGACAATTAGTGACACGGACACAGGTGGAGTGGTTTAAGGAGTGGAAAGTTTAACAGGCAAGAAAGAAGAAAACAGCTCCCTTGTACAGAGAGAGGAGGGCTTCCAATGGAAAACCCTGCAGTGTAGAAAAGCAGTCAGTTATACTGGGAGGCTGGAGGAGGCCTTGTCTGATTTGCATAGGGCCCAGGGGATTGGTTGGACCAGGTGTGTCATTCACGTAGCCCACAAAAAAACTGACCCTCCCACCCTAGCCTTTTAAAATGCAAATACTGTTACCTGGCCGGTGTTGTCTTGCTCACATGGCTTTGTCTGGAGGCTGCTATGACGCCTGGCACAACTGGAGGCAAGGAAAAGAGGGCGGGAGACGCCATATTGAATGTAACAGACACAGCTGCCAGCATTTAAATATAAAAGCTTCTACTTTGCATATCTAATGCTTGACTTCTCAGGTTTCTTTCTGTTAGAGAAAAAATAGTTTTGGGGTTTGCTTATTAAAGGAAAAATTCCACCGAGAACTTTCACCCTTTCTAGCTGCCTAAAATAATTTCTTAATAACTCCTGTATTATTTATCCCCTCAGGAGGATAAATAAACTAAACCTAACTGCTGTTAGGTGGGTGTTGGATGATGATTCTTTCTGGCTACTTCCTGCTGAAAAGAGTCATCGTGTGGTGGAGACAGCAGTTGGGCCTCCTCTTGAGGTTGATAAAGCATTCTAGGAAGAATTGCGTGTATATGCATGGTTTGCAGCACCATTTGTAGTTTGATTGCTTCTAGGTGAAAAGCGATAAATTTTACAAGGAGGTTTGAAATATAGGGTTAGAATATGAGCATTAAGATTACCACTGTTAGTGGGGGTCCTATAGACCATAACTATGACAGTAGAGTTTGATACCTATTAGTTATCCCAGTGGATCGTAATAGCAGTTTGCCTCCACTAGATATCGGTGTACATTGCCAGAAATGTTAATATAAAATTAACATTTTCCTTGAGAAAAACATACATTTCCCCCTTGACTTGCCATTAGTGGATAATTTTAGGTTTAGGCCATTTTTATAACTTGCAATATGACTGGGAGATATATGTCATTGGGTGACAGAACTTTAGTGTTAATCTTGCCAATTCCTTTCCTTTATTAAATTATTTCATTATTTTCACTGGCCTTCATACAACATGCACAAACTTTCTAACTTGTTCTAAATATCGTTCCTTTAAACAACCAGTCATTTCCTTCTAGGACAAAAATTTATCATACAAGATCCTTCCTTATATAAAATATCTTTCTTTATAATCTTCTTTCCATAGCTTAGAGTGAATCATATTACCAATCTTTAATAAAAAGTCCTATCAAACTTAATGATAGTAAAACTTTCACGCTTACTTCTTATCTGTAACTATTACCGCTGCTATAAGCAAAACAACTTTGACTAAATTTTTTCTGCATTTATTAATTCTATTTTAAGGATGATAATTAGACAAAATATTACAGCAATTAGAATTTTACAACCAGAAATCCACATTGCAGGTGCCACAGCGTATGGGTCTATTGTAAATAGTAGCATGACTATAACAATTCCCACAAGAGGTGTAGTAAATAATTTCCATTAAAAACTTTACTTGGCAAGATGTAACATTTCCCTTTGGGGGATCTACAAAAGTACAAATGCAATTCTATGAATAATTAAAATCTCCCTGCAAATATGCATTAAAAAGAAGTTATAATATTTGGCAGTGAAATCCAGAGGAAAGCGTAGAAATGATAAAAAGCATCTGGTGAGGTCGGAGAGGGACCGAGTAAGATGAGTAGCCCTCGCTCAGTTATTCATCTTTTATGATTTTCAGTTTAAGATCTCTTTCTTCGCATTGATATTCAGGACATTCCTCTGGGCTCCAGGGGTTGCTCCCTCAGCTTCTCAGGCTTTGACTTGAGTGTGATACATTCAGGAGTTGATACCTGTAACTTTTACTTCTGAGGGTGTTGAAAGAAGAACAGTGAGGGGCCCTTCCCACCCTGGGTTTAGGGAAGGAGAGAGAGAGAGATGAGCTTACAATAAAACCAAATTTCCTGAGTTAAATCGAGGTGATCCTATTTCCTGGGCTTGGGTGGGTTTCTGCTGGTTGTGTCGATTCCTGTTGGAAGAGAGATAGTGAGGTTACATGCTTAACCAACTAGGGTTTTTCTGCCTGAAAACAATCTCTGAACATATTGGCAAATTGTATCCTTTCCTAAGCGAAAAGGTTGGTGAAGGATTTTAAGAACTTTCCATTGCCTAGGGGCTGGCAAATGGAGTTTGCCATCCTGACTGAAGCCATGGTGAGACTGGAAAGAATGCCCTTGAGAAGTGGCCTATTCTATTTCTGCAGGGGAATACTGAGATTTAATTTCTCTTACCGAGCCTTCCTAGATTGGAAGGGGTTTGACCTGTGTTAATGCCTTGAGGCTTCCTTACCTTTGACTTAGCTGCCTGATTAGCTAATCTATTTCCTTTGGTTACTTTGTTTCCTTTTGATGTTCCTTACAATGAATCCCTGGTATTTCTTATGGAAGAAAAGCTGAAGATAATAACCTGTTAATTCCCTGGTGATATTTTATAGGAGATTCATTAGTGATAAGAAAATATCTTTCCTTCTAAATGGCAGCATGAGCATGGAGCTAAGAAAGCATACTTGGAGTTAGTGTAAGTGCTAGCTACCTTTTCCTTGCTTAATTTCGGTGCTCTTGTAAGAGTTGTTAGTTCAGCTAATTGAGCACTCGTTTCTGGGGAAGAGATGTTATTTAGAGTGAGTACTGTTTATCCTGCCTTGTGTATTTCTTGCTTTACTGGCTGTTAGCTAAGGGCTTCCCCTAGAAGGCAGTAATCTTGCCACATTATGTGGGGTGTAAAGAGTTAAAGTTAATTTGGAGGCTTTTCTGACCAGTAGAGCTATTGTGGAAGTAGTTTGGAAACAATAGGCCCTCCTAACTGCAACTAAGAGGTTTAGAAAAATATTGGAATAGAGTTTTTCCTGAGATACCCCTTACAAGGTTGTGCTATGGGAAGAGGGGAGGCCTGGATTAGACAGGAGAAAAGAGGGAGACTAGCTCTAGTGTTTAGAAGGTGGTTTACTTTCCTTTCTTTAATTCCCTTCCTCACCCAGGGCTCCTGTGCTATAATGGCAGTTTGAGATGCTGGAGCCAGTGTGGTACCCCCAGGACCCATCCGACCACCTGTGAGACTTGTTCTAAACACAGTGACCTTTGTCTCTGGGGGTAGTTTGATTTCCAGTGGCCTCCACCACAGGCTGGACAGAGTTGAGGTGGCTTCCTCTAGCTGTTTGGGCATTCCTTCTTAAAATGCCCTGGCTTGCCACACGGATAACAACTAGTAGATGCACCTAGTGGATCCTGGAATTTGCAAGTCTGCAAAGCAGCTACTATAGCCTCTGTTCTTCTCCTGAGCATTCCCTCTTTTGAGCCTCCTCTTGGTCCCTATTATGAAAGATTGAAGTGGCCACCCTCAGGAGGCTCTCTAAGGTACTACCTGTGTAGTAAACTTGTCCTTTAGAATGAGCAGCCCCTCAACCGAGTCAGGGTTTAAGGAGGTGTACTCTATCAGTGCCTCCCTCAGCCTTTCCGTAAAGGCTACAGGATTCTTCTCTGGCTTTTGGTTTATCATAGACAGTTGAGAATTGAGAGGTCTGGCCTTAGTTCTTCGTAGCCCCTCTAAAATGCATACTCAAACGTGCTTTCTTTTCCATTCATCTGCAGAGGTACTGGGATCCCAATTAGGGTTATGAAGTGGAACTGCTTCTCTTTCAATTGGGAATGGTATTTCTGCTATTTTTTTGCTTCTCTTTCTTTTTTTTTTTCTTTTTTTTTTTTTTTTTTGAGACGGAGTCTCGCTCTGTCGCCCAGGCTGGAGTGCACTGGCCGGATCTCAGCTCACTGCAAGCTCCGCCTCCCGGGTTTACGCATTCTCCTGCCTCAGCCTCCCGTTGCTTCTCTTTCAATTCGGAATGGTGTGTCTGCTATTTCTTTGCTTTCCCTATCACCTTTCTTTGCTTTGGGTGTATCATAGATGATATGTTGCTCATCTCCCGAGTTATCTGCTGCCTGCAGAGCCTTCTGTTTTTCAGCTGCTGTTAGGATTTGGTTTAGGAGCAGCGTAACGTACTTCCATGTGAGGTGAAACACCTGCATTAAATTCCGTACAGCTTCTATATATATATCAGTGTTGTCAGAAAATTGGCCTAAGTCTCCTTTTATTTGCCTAAGGTCCTGAAATGAGAAGGGACCTTGAAGAGGCCCCAGATAAGGAGCTGCAGATGGTTCCCCTGGAAGTTGTTTTTGTAATTTGGAGGAATTATTATCTTTGGGCCTTCTTGATAGGATTGCCAAAAGAGCTGGTCTTACAATGCTTGCAAAGATTTAGTAAAAATTCCATACCTTTGTGCAAAATAAAATGAGTCACTTTTCTCTTCAAATTCCTGAGGTTAAAGCAGTTCCAGTGTTTCAGAGCGCACTCCAGAGGGGTGCAAGCTGCAGACAATCTGTTATTCATCTACAAAAAGAAGTGAGAATAAAAGCATCCTTTTAGCCGCCTTCCTTTCAGTATGTGACCCAGGGTGAAGAAGACAGTAGGAGCGTCCCCCAATTGTTTTCCCTTCTTAGTTCCTGGGTCGCAGCATCCTGTTGAATGTGCCGCCCATGGTTGTAGGTGTGACCCTCCAAGCCATGGCACCAGAAAAACTGAGCTTTCGAGGCTAGTCACATTCACCCAAGCAGCTCTAGTCCTCTGCCTGGGATTTCCCTTTGATTTCCTAGACTTGTGTGACCTACTTGGATCCCCAAAAAACTGGATCTTTGGAAAGACCGTAATGGTTGCCTTTGGGCAAGGCTTCTTTAACAGAGGCAATGTGCTAGATTGCCTGCTATTACAGCCCGTGCTAAAACATTTACCCTTAGAAAAATGGTTCCGGTTAACTTCCAAACTTAAAATATCTGTACTAATTTAAAAGAAAATAGCATAAAGGAGTAATTATAATCCAGGAATTCCACTGATTGGTATATATTTCAAACAATGAAATTAGTGTACTAAAGACATATTATCTGCATCCCCATGTTCATTGTAGCATATTCATGATAGCCAGAACATGGAATCACCCTAAATGTCTATCAATCAATGAAAGGATAAAGAAAATAGAGTTTATATTCAGTTGGTGCAAAAGTAATTTTGGTTTTCGCCACTACCAGTGAACTTTTGCACCAACCTAATCTATGCAATAAAATAATATTCAGCCTTAAAGCAGAAGGAAATAATATCATTTGTGACAATATGGTTAAACATGAAAGACACAATGTTAAGTGAAATAAGCCCAGAACAGAAAGACAAATACTGTGTTATCTCACTTATACATGGAATCTAAAAGTGTTGAATTCATAGAAGCAGAGGGTAGAATGGTGGTTAACAGAGAGGGGTTTAGGGGGATGTTGGTCAAAAATACAAAATTCCAGTTAGATAGGAGTAATAACTTCAAAAGTTCTATTGTACAACATGGTGACTGTGGTTAATAATATATTGCATTCTTGAAAAATGCTGAATGGGGATGTAGAGTTCTCACCACAAAAATGATAACTATGTGAGGTAATGCATATGTTAATTACCTAGGGTGAGTTAGTTTGCAATGTATATTTACCTCAAAACATCATGTCGTACATTGTAAATACATATCATTTTATCTGTCAATTTAAAGAATTAAAGATAAAAATAAATAAAAAATGAAACGGTTGTGGTGAGTTAATAATATATAAAGATGCAATTGGTATGACAATAGCATAAAGCAGATGAAGTTATAGAAAAGAGTGTGCATAATATGGAAAATAAATTTATGTTTAACTGAGCTAGATTATTATAAAATAATGTTAATTCTAACTCCCAGAATAACTACTAAGAACATAATTCAAAAATTATAGTAAACAATACGGAATAAAAATGGTATACTAGAAAATATATACTTAACAGAAAAGAAAACATAAATAGAGAAACCAAAAATACGTAATACTTATGAAAAAACAAAGAACAAAATGGGGCTAATTGGACTGAATGAACATTGACTCAAGCAATTGAGTTGTAAATTATTTCCTAAGTATGCATCTGATGCTTACTAAGATTCACAGAAATTCAGAAAGTTGCATGGCTTTTCTGAAAAAAAGAATGTAGCTTCTTTCCATAAAACTAATTAGCCAAAGCAGACTTTTCCCAATTTGTTTTCTTACCTTCCAAAAATATTTCCTCACTGTTGCTATTGGAAGTTCTTAATTTAACAGTAGTTTTTCTGTACCTTTTTTCTTAAAAGGACACTGATACCTTTTTGTATTCATCCAGTATGGTTTCTATCTGTCTTGCCCTGTTTCTAGATGGAGTATGAAGAAGTATCATCATTTCAAGAAGTGGTACTTGAGTTTCATAGCTAGTTTGATCAAACTTGTAAGTTCGATAATCTGTTAAAGAGCAGAACTTTAGAATTTTTAAACTTTTATTTTGCATACTTTTTATGATGTGCAACTTAAAAAGAATTCCAAACATGACATCATTAAGTGTGTATCTTAATTTTATAACCAGACTGAAATCCTGGGAGTGTCCAAATGACTACTCAATTTCCCCTAATACTATTTTAGATAATAGCAAATTGCATTTTGAATAATGCCCAGGTCCTTTAGTTCCATCAGTGAGGGAAAACTGCATATTTGAAAGATGGGAAAGCTATTTAAAAAAGCAAACCTATGTTTTTCTTATAGTTTGATTTGCAATTACCTAACAATAAAGTGTCTGGGAATATTCTCAAGAAATGCTTTAGAGCCAAATTGATATTTACTAAAGTCAAACATGGATGATGATATAGCCAGTCAAAAACCAAGCATACAAATAACATATAAATTAGCAAAACCTAGGTTTTCTTCCCCTATTTCCTCCACAATCAGACTGATCTCCAGGCAATTGTTTAAAAAAAAATAAAGAAACAAAAACAAAAATGAAAAGAGAGTTTGAACAATGATCAATGATGAATATCTTGACAGGAAATTTTCATCCCAAAAATATGGTTTCTCAACTTGAATTTTAAGAAAATCACAAAGTGCCGTTACAGAAAACATTGTTATCATCAGAAAGAAACCTGTTGAGAATCTGAAGTCTGATATTTAGTAATAATTAAACATAGCAACATTTTGTGTGTTTTTAAGGCTTTCACCTATGTGTTGATTGTGGTTTCAAGATAAAGGAGTTCAGTGGCTACTAGGAATGGGGATACAATAGCTCTCCTTTGATGAGTCATGATTTATTTCAGCATGTTAAGCCTGTTAAAAGCTCTGACAAACCTGGTAGTAAAAAAAAAAAAAACACTTTGTTATACTGTACACTTCCCAAACTCTTATAAGCAAACATAAGGTCTATTTTTTTAGACCGGTGCCGTTGAACACAGTTTTTAAAATGTTTAGACAGAGTCAGTTATTTAAAAAATTAAATGAGGAATATTTATTTTTATTTTATGGGCATATCAAATATTGGTGGTAGTGTAGCAAAAAATAAATTGCTGATGACTACTGCAACTATGCATAATCCTTATGGAAGACCATTTGGCAATATATGTCAGAAGTTTTGAAACTTCTAAGCATTGGACACGGGTATACCACAAGATGAACTGCACAATTAATTTACATATAAAGATGTGTATTACAAGATTATTTGTAATATGTCCCCACAAAGGGAAATGAGCAAATACATTTTAGGATGCTATATATTAAAATAGTAATACAATGAAAAAGAATATTTAATGGAACGGAAAATATGCTATATAATTTAGTGAAAAAAGTGCAGGCCATAACACATATACTGTATGTGTACCTTTGTATAAAATTATATATACAATTGTACCTAGAAAAACAGTAGAAATATATAAGCTAAAGTGTTATCTCTAAGTACGTGTATTTTTGTTTTCCTGCTTTGCTTATCCATATTTTTCACATATATGTGTATATTTTATTATGAATAAATTATGAATGTTTCTAATAGCAATATAAAAATACAAGAAATATATGTATGTGTATATATTTGTATACTCCTTGTATTTTCATATTGCTATAAGAAATATATATAATGTTCATAATAAAATAATATTTATAAAATAGCCCATAACACTTTACCTAATTTTTTACTCACAACAAAAAAATACTTGAAAGCTGAGACTTTGTAATGGATGCTTTGATCTTTTGCATGTCTTTCTTTCAAAAGATTGGAAATATTGAGTCACATTATCAAACCATGTTATAAGCTATTCAGTATATGTCTTTGAATTTGTAATTTGAGGTTGTATCATTTCGTTCCTCCTAATTTACTAAAATGTATATTGTATTTTAAGTGTTTGTATAGGTTTTTTAAAATGTTACATACGTTTTTAAATATATTTTAATAGGCAAGATACCAGAGAAGAATTCTAAAGAATTAGAAGCTTATGGCCTCAGAAAGCATAATATGTGTCCCTTGCAACTTAAGACACAGAAGATAATGTATGTTTCTCCCTCGAAAATCTAAAGGACTGGAAATGAGCTAAGGAGTTATTCTGATGGTTGGGGAAAGAGAGGTGGTAGCAGGGGCCAGCCTTCCAAAATTAACAGGAGCAAAGAATGTATCAGTGCTTCCTGTGAACACACATCAACCTTGCACACAAGGTTACATGGGGTCCTATCCAAAATGATCACCTAGAGCGACAAGGCAAAATCAGCAGAGATAACCCAAAGGTAGTGCTGTGTTGCTACAAAGCTAGGAAGTGGTACATCCAGCAAAAAGCGAGGTGTCTTCACCTTTTACAACACTGTAAGGCAGACATCCCCAGAGAATGGCAAGAGGGTCTCCAAAGAAACCATGAAATAAATGTCAAAGGAAATGGTGAGTTTTGAACATATTGCAAGAAGATTGGTATTCTGAATAACCACAACACTATGGATCAAGTCAGAACTTTCTTCTCTCCTTACAAATCCTTCTTCCCCATACTGCAACCCTGGAGAAGTTAGAAATGCTATTGACAAGGAGTAACACCTGGTAGAAAACAGTAGATTTACAGGGACAATGAGAGACAAAAATAAAGTTGCTTTACAATTACATTCCATGGATTTTACTTGCTCAGGATAATCATTATTTAGTGGGAAAGGAATAGGGTTGTCACATTGAAAAAACGAATCCTGGTTAAATTTCAATTTTATCTAAAATCACTAATTTTTGTATATTGATGCAAATGATGCTTGAGTAATAATACGTTAAAATATTCACTGGTTGCCTGAAATTCAAATGTAACTGAGATTTCAATACTTTTTGCTAAATCTGGCAATTCTACCGTTGTATTATTTAATGCTTATCGGACTAAAGTCTACCTTGCTTGATATCAGAAACCTTATCCTCACTTTCTTTTTATTGCATTTTCTTGGTATGCTTTTGTATCCTTTGCTTTTTAGCCATTCTGAATCACTTTTAGTTGTGCCTCATATACACAGCAAAGAATTGGGTTTTGATTTGT